TATATTTGACTTCCTTTATCGTTTTACCCTCCATATTTTCCAATTGTATGTCTTCTGTCGTTTTTTTCTTTCCTAAAAATCCGTTCATGTTCCTGAAAAAAAAAAAATTTCCCTGGGGTTTTAAATTGCACTTATCTCTCTCTCCCTCGGTCTCCCTCTCGCTCTCTCTCTCGGGGCAGAGCGAGAGAGAGACCGGGGGAGAGAGAGAGAGCGAGCGGGACACCGAGGGAGAGAGAGCGCGAGATTGGGGGGGACACCGAGGGAGAGAGAGCGCGAGACTGGGGGGGACACCGAGGGAGAGAGAGCGCGAGATTGGGGGGGACACCGAGGGAGAGAGACCGCGACCGGGAGGGAGACCGCGAGCGCGAGATTGGGGGGGAGACCGAGAGGGAGAGAGAGCGCGAGATTGAGAAAAAACACCGAGGGAGAGAGAGCGCGAGACTGGGGGGGACACCGAGGGAGAGAGACCGCGAGATTGGGGGGACACCGAGGGAGAGAGACCGCGACCGGGAGGGAGACCGCGAGCGCGAGGGGGACACCGAGGGAGAGAGACCGCGACCGGGAGGGAGACCGCGAGCGCGAGGGGGACACCGAGGGAGGGAGACCGCGAGCCCGAGGGAGAGACCGCGACCGGGAGGGAGACACCGAGGGAGAGAGACCGCGAGATTGGGGGGACACCGAGGGAGAGAGACCGCGACCGGGAGGGAGACCGCGAGCGCGAGGGGGACACCGAGGGAGAGAGACCGCGACCGGGAGGGAGACCGCGAGCCCGAGGGAGAGACCGCGAGCGCGAGGGGGACACCGAGGGAGAGAGACCGCGAGCCCGAGGGGGACACCGAGGGAGGGAGACCGCGACCGGGAGGGAGACACCGAGGGAGAGAGACCGCGAGATTGGGGGGAGACCGGGCGAGAGAGACCGCGAGCCCGAGGGAGAGACCGCGACCGGGAGGGAGACCGCGAGCGCGAGGGGGACACCGAGGGAGGGAGACCGCGAGCCCGAGGGAGAGAGACCGCGAGCGCGAGGGAGAGACCGCGACCGGGAGGGAGACACCGAGGGAGGGAGACCGCGAGCGCGAGGGGGACACCGAGGGAGAGAGACCGCGACCGGGAGGGAGACCGCGAGCCCGAGGGAGAGACCGCGAGCCCGAGGGAGAGACCGCGACCGGGAGGGAGACACCGAGGGAGAGAGACCGCGAGATTGGGGGGAGACCGGGCGAGAGAGACCGCGAGCCCGAGGGAGAGACCGCGACCGGGAGGGAGACACCGAGGGAGAGAGACCGCGAGATTGGGGGGAGACCGGGCGAGAGAGACCGCGAGCGCGAGGGGGACACCGAGAGCCCGAGGGAGACCGCGAGCGCGAGGGGGACACCGAGGTTCACTCACTCTCTCTCTTTCACTCTCCCGTTCACACTCTCACTCTCTCTTGCACTCTCCCGTTCACTCTCTCTTTCACTCTCCCGTTCTCTCTCTCTCTCTCTTGCACTCTCCCGTTCACTCTCTCTTTCTCTCTCTCTTGCACTCTCCCGTTCTCTCACCCTCTCACTCTCTCTTTCACTCTCCCGTTCTCTCTCTCTCTCTCTCGTTCACTCTCTCTTTCACTCTCTCGTTCACTCTCCCGTGCACTCTCTCTCTTGCACTCTCCCGTTCACTCTCCCGTTCTCTCACCCTCTCACTCTCTCTTTCACTCTCTCTCTCTCTCACTCTCTCGTTCACTCTCTCTTGCACTCTCTCTTTCACTCTCCCGTTCTCTCTCTCTCTCACTCTCTCGTTCACTCTCCCGTGCACTCTCTCTCTTGCACTCTCCCGTTCACTCTCTCGTTCACTCTCCCGTTCTCTCACCCTCTCACTCTCTCTTTCACTCTCCCGTTCACACTCCCTGTCTCTCTCCCGTGCACTCTCTCTCTTGCACTCTCCCGTTCATTCTCCCTGTCTCTCTCTCGTTCACTCTCCCGTTCTCTCACGTGCTGAAAAGAAACTACGTCACATTTTTTTTACCTATTGTTTTCTTTTCGAATTCAGGTATCATGTTCGCTATTGTTCATCAATTCGTCGACTTGTTTTCTTACGTAGCGGTCGGTAATGATGATAATGATAATTATTTATATACATTTCATATGATTTAAAAGAGACATACGTTCGTGACGTTTCTTGGTCGCCACGATAAGTTGGCAATACCTAATAACGATAATGATTTTTTCATACCTTTTCTTTTCATCTCTTGGAATTTTATAATGGAAAACGTGTAGCAGTATGACTCCGAGGATAATCAAACAACCCAAAATGAAAAGTCCGTAATAAACGAAAGGACCGAATTCGACTATTTTCAACATAATTTTAACTCCGTTCGTGTATTCGTCGCTCAGTGAGACGCTATTTTCCGTCCAAAATACCGGTATGAACACATCTTTGACGTTTCTGTACATTCTGAAAATTCTTATTCGAGAATTAGTAAAAGACCTCCACCACCACCCCCCCCCCAAAAAAAAGAAAATTTCAAGGTTGTTACTACTACTCACGATATGGCAGAATTTTTTTTCAAGTAAAGATTCAGTTGCATTCTCGCACGAACGTCAACTTGCAAACCCGTTCTCTGTGAAATCAAAAACAAAAATTGATTTGTGTGAAAGTGTGTCGGCGTTCGAATGAATCATTTCCGTTTCCGAAAAAAAAAACTCACCGGTTCGACGGCTATGTAAAACCTATGCTTATCCCGATCGGGTTTCATACCCTCGACGGAAGTCAAATAATCCGGATCGGCTTGATAAAAATGTGGGAAGGACATGAAAACGGGAGCACCGTATTGACATTTTGATATGTCCAAAACTCCAGATGGGGGGCAAAATTCTAAATCGCAGTAACATTTGTTTTCGTCCACGGTCGTACCGTTGTCCACCGTTTTTTTCGTACCCCCAAATAATAAAGTTTTCAATCCTCTGTAAACGTAATCTTCTTCGTAGTAGTAATACATTGTCCTAAAAAAAAAAAAAAAAAAAAAAAAAAAACGAGGTCAAAGTCATGGGATAGACATCCGGCGACGACGACAGACAGACAGACGGACGGACGGACAGGGAGGTGAGGGGAAGGTGGGGGGGGGGAAGAGTTCGATCTCACCTGCACAAATCCGTGCTGAACATTTTCAATGTGCTTTCTTTGGTTAAATTCGGAGGCCAAAATTCTCCGCTGTATCCTCCCTCTTTCAAATGCGAACACTCCGGATACAAACTCTCCAAACTTTTATTGTTCCATAATTTTAATTTACCCAATTCTTCTAAACCTGTTAAACCTGTGCCTATCGTGTAGGTATCCGACGAAACGGTTCCGTTTCTCTGTAATATTACACAAATTTAATTAAAATTTAATTTACGCGCCTTTACAAAATTTTCCAATATCACTCGAGAGAGAGAGAGAGAGAGACTCAATTCAAGGTCAAATAAATTTGATTATCGGTTTAACTCTTAACAATATCTCTCTCTCTCTCTCTCTCTCTTTTTATACACTCCTAGGTAATTCGAATTAATTTTTTTTTTTTTTCTAATTGTCGTCGTCATTGTCGTCGTCTGCTTTCAAGATTCGATTGTGAATTCAACCGTATCGCACGATGGCCTTTTGTTTAAAAAAAAAAAAAATTATCTTAATTGATCTTTCGATTCAAATTAAAATATCAGAGGTCAATTGTATATATTGCTCTTTTTACTCGTATAAGGTTTCAATGTTCTTAATCGTCGTGGTCGTCGTCGTCGTGTCATTAGTCACTAACAGTCTCTCTCTCTCTCTCTCTGTGTGCGTGTTTGGTTTTTATTTTATCTTATTACTACGAGTCTTCTTTGCGAACGATAGATAAACCATTGTCATCTTGTTAAAATGTAATGTAATAATTGTTGTAACGTTGAGATGATTGAAATTGTGGTCGACGACGACGACGACCATGATGATGATGATGATGATGATCTCTCACCTTGTAAAACCATCCGAATTTTTCAAGATCCGGAAATCCTGGAACGTAACTTCCGGCATTTTGCAAAGAATTTTCAAAACCGTCGAAAAGTAATTCTCGCACCGTTTTCGTCCACGTTAATTCTTGTCCCGACGTTCTCAGCGCTACGGAAACTGGATAAACGAAAAATTTACTCCAGGATCGGACTATGTAGGCGATGCTCTGAAAGAGAGAGGAAAAAAAAAAAAAAAAAACAAAATTGCACGTGCGTGAGGCGTGTACACTTTTGTTCGACAAAGGTATACCCACGGCTGCGACAGCGTTTAATGACGTCACTTTATCATCGAGCGATCCTTTTGTTTTTCCCTCGTCGAATTGCCATCTTTTGATCGTTCTGTACGTCACGTTTCCATCTTGTCCCCATTTCACGTCGACTTTTTCGTGTGATTCCCTGAAAAACGATATTAATAATTATTGTTAAAGACGAGTGAACTTTTTACGATAAGTTCCTGGAGAACAAACGTGCAAGAAAAAAAAAAAAAATATGTATGTGTACCTAAACACGTATGGTCCCATTTCGACGAATGACGGTTTGTAATTCGGATCGTTTATTCCCTCGGGATTCGTCCAGTTCCAGAAATAAACGCTCATCATTATCGGTATCGGCGTCTTCTGCCATTTTTTAAAAGACAACGAACTCGGTTTCAACGGTAACTCCTGTCGGAAATCAAAAAAAAAAAAAAAAAAAAAATTTATTACGGTGTGTGCGACGTGGAATCAGAAAAGGATGAGGCGTTCGTTTCGTATGGGGAAAAACTATTTCTTACCTGTTCGAAACCGTAAAAAATAAATTTTTCAAAAAAGAATAAAAGAAACAATCCGAGGAGTGCGATGACGAATCCACCTATGAGAATTCCTATTTTCGTTTTGTTTTCTTTCATCATTTTTTCGAGAAATTGTCATTATTCACCGAAAACGGACGAAACGAAAGAATAAATAATAATAATAATAGTAGTAGTAGTAGTGGCAGTAGCAGTAGACGACGAAAATATTTCTTCTATTTTGATTTCTTCTTTTTATCCGAACGGATCCATTCCGGTAAGAACTCGTTCAAAACAAACAAACAAAATCTTACCTGGAAAAAAATTTTTTTTTTTTTACCGGAAAAAAAAACCCGAAAAAATCAACAACCGAATACAACAACGAACAAAGTTTTTAGAAAGAAAGAACACAAACGACAACGACAAACACAAACGCACACACACTGGGTTAGTAGACTATCTTATCAACGAGAGTAATAATTATATATACAAACTCCGTCGCGTATTCCGTTTCGTCGTTTGTCGTGTAATGTCGCGCGAAAACGTGGCCGTCGTCATTCATCTGGAAAAAAACTGACGAAAACTTTTCTTTATATACATGCATATAGAACCACGTGCTGTTTGTCTGGATAATCGTTTACGTATATGTTTGTTTACTCTATGGTTTTTTTTTTTTTTTTGTTTCCCCTCCGATTGTATTGTGTATCGTCGTTGTATCGTTCTTGGAACTTTGATCGATGAACTCGTAAATTGTTTGCATAATTAAACATACACAACAACAACAACAACGACAAAGAAATTGTAATTGACTCGATTAGTACATAATAAAAAAATTATTATTATTATTATTATTATTATTATTATTATTATTATTATTATTATTATTATTATAATAAGAGAAATCGTGTGAAGATGATATATGTTGGGGGGAGGGGAAGGGGAAGGGAGGGGGAAAGAAAACGTACGAAAACAATAAGAAGAAGGAGGAGGAGGAGGAAAAAAAAGACAACCAGAGCAAACGTATTGAGTCACCCTTTAAATTATAGCAAATAAATTCTTTAAAAAAAAAAAAAAATACGCGACTTTAAAAATTATTATTATTATCATCATTATTATTATTAATCATTATCATTATTATTATTATTATTATTATTATTATTAATCATTTTCAGATTCGTGCGTGCGATTTTGTCGCGTACAAAGTTCACATTTATTAATATTATTTTTATTATTTTAACTTTTGTTCGGTTTGTTGTTTGTTTGTTTGTTTGTTTGTTTGTTTTTGACCGTTGAAAATTTTTTTTTTTTTGAATTTGCTGTCGCGTCGTGGTTGTGCATTTCCCGTAGCAAAATGTCGTGGGGGGGGAGGGAGGGGCAAAGAAAGGGAAAGCGAGAGGGAGTCGATTTGATATGTACGTTGATTGATTTCTTTTTTGTCCTGAATTTTTTTTCGTGTGTAATCGAACAAAGGGGGCCGATAACGTCTGAACGCCTGCGAACGTCGTAACGTGCGTAATTTACCGAACGAGAATGAAATTAAATTTTTTTTTTTTTTTTGCCATAATTAGAATCGAAGTTAATCGATAGTTAAAAGTTTGGAAAGTCACGTTTTATTTCCTTTTTCTCTCTCTTTCTCTCACTCTGTTCCTGTCTCTCTCTCTCTCTCTCTCTGACCTCTTTTTCTTTTGTCGTCAAATGTGTATTAACGAGTATTTTTCTTTATTCGAATTCGAACGAAAAAAAAAAAAAAAAATGAGTCAATAAGTATTATTATTACTCACGATTGACGATAGCAAAACGTTTTTAAATAGATAATCATTATTATTAATATTATGATTACGTAGTCATTGAGAAAAAAAAAAAAAATTTCATTAACAACCAACAATAATAAAAACAACCCGGAGAAAAATTATCATAATTATTATTATTATTATTATTATTATTATTATTACTTTAAATTTTAAACGACGTTTAAAGTTTAGCAAAAAAAAAAAAAGAAAGAAAGCAGAAGTCATACATACGTAAATGAAAAACGAGTTTTTTTTTTTTTTTTTTTTTTTGCTAATCTTGATTTTTGCGGACTTTGGCATTCGCGAAGCAAGGTTTATTATTATTATTATTATTATCTTTTGCTATTATCCACTTTATTATTGTTTTTTTTTTTTTTTTGCGGTCAGAAATGTTTTATCGGTACAAAACGTTATTAGGAAATATCGCGGTTTCGTTAATGAAACTTTTTTGGTTCTGAGAAAAGTTTCGGGGAATCCCCGTGACGTCATCATTTCGCTCGCTATGAA